ATCAGCCTGCGGAACCTCCACAAGAAACGGCACACGGGGGAGGCCAAATACCGCTGCGATGACTGCGGCAAGCTCTTCACCACCTCCGGCAACCTCAAACGGCACCAACTGGTCCACAGCGGGGAGAAACCGTACCAGTGTGACTACTGCGGGCGCTCCTTCTCCGATCCCACCTCTAAAATGCGGCACCTGGAGACCCACGACACCGACAAGGAGCACAAGTGTCCCCACTGCGACAAGAAATTCAACCAGGCGAGTTGGGTGGGGGGGGTGGGGGAAATCGGACCCACGGTGGTTTGGGTCCCTCCAGAGAGAGATGGGGGTGACCTGGGGGGGGGTTCTCTGTGTCTGTCTGTCCCCAGGTGGGGAACTTGAAGGCTCACTTGAAGATTCACATCGCTGACGGACCCCTGAAGTGTCGGGAGTGCGGCAAGCAGTTCACCACTTCAGGTAGCACAGGGTTGGTAGGTGGTGAGGTCCGAGCGACGGAGGTTTGGCCGGCTCAGGAGGGGGACGGGGACTGCTCTGTGCAGGGATCGGAGCTGGAGGAGGGATTTCATCCTGGGCACAGGAGGGTTTAAACCTCTCGCTGTGGTGGTGCAGAAATTTCTCCCCCTCTACGGGGCTGGGCTGGCATCCCCCATGGAATCACAGCCCAGGGATGCTGGGGAATCAGGGTAAAGAGCCCTTGATCCAACTTTCGGGGATGGAGATGTCTCCTCGCATCTCCCCAAACCACTGCAGAGCCGGAAGGCTCTGGATGAGCTCCATGGAGTCTCCCCGTTCCCTCAAACCTCAGGTGCTTGTTCTGGCTGTCCCCACCTCTGCCTTACCCTGATCCTTGGCTCCGGGGCTCAGCAGTGCAGCACTCCCGCGTGCTTCCCGCTCCCTAAATAGCAGTGGATCTTCCCGATGGAGCTACCGGGGCACTGGGAAGGAGGTGGGGGTGTCAGTGTCCCTGTGTGCGTCCCCCCGGCTGAGCTTTGTGTGCTCTCAGGCAACCTGAAACGGCACCTCCGGATCCACAGCGGGGAGAAACCCTACGTCTGCGTCCACTGCCAGCGCCAGTTTGCCGATCCCGGAGCGCTCCAGCGCCATGTCCGCATCCACACTGGTAGGAATGCAGCTCTGCTTTTCCCCCTGAGGGATTTTTAGGGGAGCCTCACCCCCTCCTGGGTTTATTGAACCCCCCCAACATCTTTTCCCTTTGTCTCTCCCTAGGAGAGAAGCCATGCCAGTGTTTAATCTGCGGAAAAGCCTTCACTCAAGCGAGCTCCCTCATCGCCCACGTACGCCAACACACGGGGGAGAAGCCCTACGTCTGCGAACGCTGCGGCAAGAGGTGAGGGTTCACCCCTTGAATTTTAAGGGGGGGCACCTCCACTTGCCCTCTGTGGCCGGGTGGAGGTGCCAGAGCGTCATTTTTTGGGGATGGGAATCGTGGTGACATCTCTTTGTGTCCCCAAGGTTCGTCCAGTCGAGCCAACTGGCCAACCACATCCGCCATCATGATAATATCCGACCCCACAAATGCACCGTTTGCAACAAAGCCTTCGTCAACGTGGGCGATCTCTCCAAACACATCATCATCCACACCGGTGGGGTATCGCGACAGCTCCCCAGATCTTTAAGCAACGCCCCCTTAAATCTTCAACCGTCCCCAAATTTCCTCATTTTTATCCCCAGGGGAGAAGCCCTTCTTGTGCGACAAATGCGGCCGGGGTTTCAACCGGGTGGACAACCTGCGTTCTCATGTCAAGACGGTTCATCAAGGCAAGGCGGGCATTAAAATCCTCGAGCCGGAGGAAGGCGACGAGGTCAACATTGTCACGGTGGCTTCTGATGACATGGTGACGTTGGCCACCGAGGCGCTGGCTGCCACCGCTGTCACGCAGCTCACGGGTGAGCTCGGGGGGGTCCCAGGAACCCTCCCAAAAGGGGAGGTTTATCCATGGGGTGCAGCTTGGGGGCTCCCAAAGGAGCTCGGAGGTTTAGCTGTGGCGTGCGGCACCTGTTGGCGTGACCTGAGGCTGGGAAAAGTCTCAGCCTGGCTGGCTCCAGCT